GGAGGTAAAGCACTAGCTAAAGGAGGTAAAGCACTAGCTAAAGGAGGCAAAGAATTAACTAAAGTTGGTAACGCACTAGCCAAAGGAGACAATTTACACACTAAAAATAAAAGCAACATAAACCTAAAAGCAGAGTATGTTGCAGCATAATTTAACAAGAACAATATTTTTGAATTAATTGAAAAGATCTTAAAGCATTTTTATGTGGCTATACTATTTACATAGTAAACTCTACATGCTTTGTGCTATAAGTATGTAAAAAGAGTTGGATCGCCGAAGTATTAGGAAAAATAAAAACACTGGAAAACATTATTGTTATTGAGCATGCATCAGGATATTATTGTTATTGCTGACTCAGCATTCACACAACAAGTAAACTTTCTGCATGTTCTGGTGAAGGTCCTGTTACGTAAAAACCAGTTTCTCTGTGACTCTGCTGCTTACTCAGCCAATGTTCTGCTGTATTTTTAGCTCTGGCGGAGGCCTTGGGGTCTAAGGTTTGTCTCTCCAGGGACAAATATAAAACCATGTGCTGCTTGGAGTCGGAGCAAATCAGGAAACAGATAACCACTGACTGGAAGGCAGCGCAGGTTCATGTGCTGCCCATGATGCAACTCTGCTCCAAAGTAGGTGCTGCGGTTTTGTTTAAATAAAAAAAAAAAAAAAAGTCCATCTCCTTCTATGATGGACTATTATTCTTACAAAATATTTTGCATTTTTTAGCACACAATAGTTTAAAACTGAGTGTTTGATTGTTTTAGAAATGGTAGCTGTAATTTATAAATGTAAAATGTGTTACTAGAATTTCTGAGTTAATTAAATTTGCCATCTGTTTAACCCTAGATAAGCAGTGAGGCTGCTATATTTCACACATCACTAGGCACAGAAAAGCCAACTGATGGGAAATAAATGCTGCAGTTTAGCTTCTTGATTTGTGATGCTATTCAAATCCCTGTTCATGGTCATCTAAAAGAGCTGCTGTATTGCAAACATACATATTTATAGGAATGCTGATAGAAAATAGAGAAAAGTATTTGAGTTTTACAGTCGAGTCTTTTTGAATGTGTTGTTTCCTCTTGTTTCTCCATCTGCTCTGCAGAAGCTGCAGGATCACCTGGCACGCTTTTCCTCACAATACGACCAACTGGTAGCCTTCAAACCCACAGGCTGGACCTTCAGCAACCAGGTGGAGTCAGTGGGGGTCATTCAACCACAGATCAGCGGCAACATCTCTATTTATGGTGAGCGGCAGGCAGTGTTTATTGAACAGATTTTAGTTTAACTTCCAAATTAAAGACACTGGTATCTTATTTTTAAACATTTGCTCAGGGCTTAATGACAAAAATAGCATTTATTGTGCCAAAAACTGAGAATGTTCTTGCCGTCTTTCATTAATCCTGCTACTCCATTTGTGGGGTAATGGATTAGAAAAGTTAAAATTGGTCAAACTTTAGTTTCTTCTTACTTTCAAGTGTTAAAGATGGAGATGTTTGTGTTGTATCTTCACCAACAGGCAGCGCAGTTGGACAGAAGTCGAGCCTGAAACAAGCTGTGACTTGATTTGTAATTGTAAATGAAGCCAGTTTTTCCTCACAATCGTGTGTTTGATGTTCTGAATGGATCCATCAGCTGCATCATCTGTCTGGCTTTTAACCTGCAGCCAAAACCTGGAAGCTTTCGTGACACCCAGTAGCACATAAATTGTGCCTCTTCAACAGTTTGTCGCTCAAGTACAAGTTAATTTACTGTGTGTTGTTACTGCTTGTTGTTGTGCTGCTAACACTGAAGTTGGCCTGTGGGAAAAGCAGGCTGAAGACTTGATCGAGCTCCATTTTATTTAAATCTGTTAAATGTAGACCTGGGATCAACTTGTGGAGGGGGTGAAGTAAGGACCAACATGAGGCAAAAGCTTTAGTGCAGCATTTTGAACAAAACAATCATTGATAGTCTGTACCTTTAGCATGCAACTCCTCTGGCTGCTTCTCTAATGTGTCTGGCTCTCTGTCAGATTTTCACCTCAAACCAAATTGCCTGTTTATAAGCTGAGATGCTTAAGAATGAAAATGAGCTGATGGATTAAAAAAAAAGAGTGTAAAAATGCCTCTCAGGTCCAGAACCATCTGGTCAGCTCCCCACAGCGCTCATCTCTTTGATAAATGGAAGATTTAGATCTGTAGAACTGATTTGCATTCATTTTAAAGTTACTCATTGCAAAGGTATGATATCAAACATAAAGATTACCCTTAACTAGACCAGATGTTGCAGTTTGAAGGAGTTTACTCCAGTAGGTTTCCAAATAAATTGATATGCAATTCTGAAATGCAGGTGTGCACTCAGAGTACACAAAAACACTGTATGTATTTTCATGACTATTCAGTGACCAATTTTTGCTTTCTTCTATTAACAAGCCATTCATTTGCATTTGAAGACTCAGAATGGACTTTAGGTTATGTTTCTCAAATGAATTCATAAAACGTGGAGAATAAATGTTTTAAAATGTACATTCTTCTTTGTTGTCATTCAGAAACAAAATCCATTGATTTCCCTTCCGTTTCACTTCTGCACTGCCATGCACTGAAAGTGAAGGAGAGAAACATAATGAAGTGTTGATCCCATCATGGTAGTGAGGATACAATACAAGCATTGGTATAGATAGCTTGTTTGATCCACACGCTGGCTGGAGTCTGTGTAGGTAAACAAATATGGAAAATAAGGCAAGTCTAGAATCTCAAAGGGCATGTTTAGGTGGAAATGTAAGGTCATCTTGCTGCTGACGGGACCTGCTAACAAGACCACACCGCTAAAAGTACCATGGCCGAGATGGTGTAGGGGCAGGGCAGCCGACTCGGGACCCGAAGGTCCTGGGTTTGATCCCTGGTCATTGTACATCTCGTGATGTCTCTGAGCAGGACACCTCATCCCCAGTTGCTCCCCGGCACTTTCCATAGCTGCCCACTGCTCCACCTGGTGGTGGATGGGTTAAAAGCAGAGAGCCAATTTTGCCGTTGCATGGAAACATACAATGATGACATTACATACACATTATTATTATTATTATTATTATTATTATTATTATTATTATTATTATTATTATTATTATTATTATTATTAT